CTGCTCCAACCACAACCACAACTCCTGCTCCAACCACAACTCCTGCTCCAACCACAACTCCTGCAAGCACTACAACAGCTACTGCAACCACAACTATGTCTGCTCCAACCACAACTACATCTGCTCCCACCACAACTACATCCGCTGCAACCATTACAACTGCTGCTGCAACCACTGCAACAGCTGCTGCAACCACTGCAACAGCTGCTGCAACCACTACAACAGCTGTTCCAACCACTACAACAGCTGTTCCAGCCACAACTACATCCGCGGCAATCACTACAACAGCTGCTGCAACCACAACTACAGCTGCTCCAACCACTACAACAGGTTCTCCAACCACAACTACAGCTGCTTCAACCACAGCTACAGCGGCTCAAACCACTACAACTGCTGCTGCTATCACAATTACAGCTGCTCCAACCACTACAACAGCTAATCCAACCATGACTACAGCTGCTCAAACCACTACAACAGCTGCACCAACCACAATAACAGCTTCTCCTACCACAACTACTGCTGCTCAAAGGACTACAACTGCTGCTCCCATCACAACTACATCCGCTGCTCCAACCACAACTACGTCCGCTGCAAGCACTACATCAGCTGCTGCAACCACAACAACAGCTGCTCAAACCACAACAACAGCTGCCCCAACCACAACAACAGCAGCCCCAAGCACAACAACAGCTGCCCCAAGCACTTCAACAGCTGCCCCAAGCACTTCAACAGCTGCCCCAAGCACTTCAACAGCTGCCCCTAGCACTACAACTGCTTCTCCAACCACTACAACTCCTGCTGCTTTCACAAGTACAAATGCTCCAACCACAACCACTACTGCTCCAACCACAACTACAGCTGCTCCAACCACAACTACAGCTGCTCCAACCACAGCTACAGGAGCTCCAATCACTAGAACACTTGCTCCAACCATTACAACTGATGCTCCTTTCACAACTACATCCGCTGCAACCACAACTACAGCTGCTCCAACCACAACAAAAGAACAGATTACAACAGCTGATCAGACAACTCCAACTACTCTTATGACTACTACAACAACTACAACTGAAGCACCTGCTCCTGTCTTTGTGGTTGCAGCAACGGTGGTTGAACCATTTGTTCCAGCACTTGAAGT